GAGAGTGAGTGAGTGAGTGAGAGTGAGTGAGTGAGTGAGAGTGAGTGAGTGAGAGTGAGTGAGTGAGTGAGTGAGTGAGTGAGTGGTGAGATCTTGTGTTGTGTCAGTGAGTGAGTGAGTGATGTGAGTGAGTGAGTGAGTGAGTCAGTGAGTGAGTGCGTGACTGAGGAGGGGGCGAGGAGGACGGAAGGAAGGAAGGAAGGACCGGCGGATGCGGGCGGGATGCCAGCCAACAAAACTAGAACCCCACACAGAGATGTGGGGAAAAACAAAAAGCAATGAGTCAATGGCTCGGTTTTCTTGGGGAGGCTCCAGGCATTTGCAATCAATTTTGCATGCTTGGGACTGGAAAACGGTCCAATTTCGCACGGCACACGCGTTCAGTTGTATGTGAGCTCACCGCTTTGCACAATACGTGGCGCAATGGATTATGAGTCCCCACTGTGAAGGTTTGGATCGTTAAACACTTTGACATCAGCGAAGCGGCATACTAAGCATCTATTTCAGTTCTGCATGCGGCAGAATGTTCACCCGTGCAGTTTCGGGTGCCCCGTGGCCGTGCCTTTGGCGCGATTCGCTGGTCTTTACAGCGCATTGGACATCCGAGATCTCTACGTGCGCAGCACTTTGGATGAGCATGAGCATGAGCTAAGCACCGTGAAGGTAATCGTGATCAAAGGTATGATGATGGCGGTGGTAAGAACGATACACATTAAAACCATTCATTGAAGACACTAAGCCGAGATCAAAGCTGAGAACCTTTTGCCAAACTGACAGGAGATCTGCAGTTATGGCGACCATTGACATCCAATCCAACAAGCTTTGGCGCTCTAGCCGTTTGGAATCGAGGTGTTGAAAAGTGCTATCGAGGAAGGGTGCAGCGCATGAGGAAGGGTGCAGTGCATGGCACTTGACGGGTCAAATCGGACCAGCTGGAACCAACACTGCCAAGATCGGATTCAGAAAAAGCTCAACTCTTGTTACTAGTAAGAATGCTCCGTTCGTAGCGATGCCAGGAGCCCCTAGTAGCTTCCTTGCTCCTAGTAGTAAGGCCAGGAACCCCTAGTAGCTAGCTTCTTGTTCATGGAACTTGGTGAATGAACATCTGCTAAATTTGCAAAAAAACATGAACATGCTTGTCAAGCTGAACAAGTCCTCTCGCGCTTCGAGCTCTTTGGCTAGTTTGGATTGGGCCTGCAAATGTTTTTTTTGCACATTTCAACTGATCCATGAGACCCCGAGCCCCACCTCCACAAGCGACTTGACACGAGCTTCTTCCAGCTCCAAATGTTCCAAGCGCTCTTGAAAACCTCCCCTGCCACGAAGTGCAACATGAGAAGCATCTAGTGGATCGTTTTGATTTATACTTTAAGAAGTCAACATTGCTGGCCTTCCTAATAGCAATGGCCTCCAACCTAATAGCGTAGTGGATGTATCAACATGTCTGCCCCCCTATGAATTGCATACTAAGCCAATCAATAGTTGTCAACCGCCCCCGTACAAAAAAAGAAGACTAGTTGCAAAGTATTGGCACTGGAGTTTTGTTTGGGACCATTTGAATAGGAATTGACACTATTGCCAAGGGAAATGAATGCATATCAGAAAGTTGTTTTTGTTGAATTTGGAATGGGTGAGACCGCCTTTGAATCCACTTGCAAATCAGCATATAAGCCTTGCAATATAAGCGCAAGGGCTAAGCACTCTGCATCGGGAAACTAACAACTAGAGAAAGCAAAGGCCAAAAACAGAACGTACCGACGGCCGTGGCATGGGCAGTGGCATGCCGACTGCCGATGACTGCCGGCCCCGCCTTTCTGGTGACATGCTTGTGGCCTGTGTGTTTGCTGCACTTGCGGCGGGCTGAGTCTCTTCCCCACGCCTTGGCACTGGCGCAGGCGGTGCAATTACAATATATTTAAATTTACTTCAATTTCTATTGAATTCTAATCTCGTTACTAGTTACTGGTAGTAAGGCCAGGAGCTACTAGTAGCTTCTTGCTCCTAGTAGCGATGCCCTTTGTTCCTAGTAGCTTCTTGCTCCTAGTAGCCGCAACAAGGCTCATCTCTAGACTCTAAACAACTGTCCACCACAAAACAGCGCGTCTGCGCTTCATGCTTCTTCATGGGTAAGCTGTAGTGTTCACTTGCGCCAAGGCATCACCTCTAAAAAACACAGGTTTCAACCCATGTTGGGGCCCCAAGTTGGGGCTAGCGGCTAGAGTCTAGAGCCCGGAAGTTGTGCAACATTCACTAAAACTTGTCTCCACAAGACATTGTGGACATCCGCAGGGTGTGAAACTCACTCTCACGTAGGAGGCACCGAACATCGAGAGATATCGAAAGTCAATACCACTTTTAAAAACAGCGCTGTGAAGGTGTGCTTATGTGTCCGTTTTACAGTGTTCCTACGTCCTACATCTGCATCGCGTGCATACTAGAAACAACAAACTCCAACATCCCTTTGGAGCACCAAAACAACAAAAATACCCAACATACCAAAAAGGGCGATCCATTGGAGAAAACTTGCACCCCCTCCCTCTCCAAACATTGTTTGTTGTTAATGTCTTTTTGTATGTTCGGATCTAGACCTAGACGAACAATGCATTTCGATGGTGGTGACATACCAAAATTAATCAAAATACACACAGTCACACAATACCAATAATAGCGGAAATGCTTGGAGAGGTGCACGTTTTCCACTGGTTTGATTCTAATCATATAAATTCTATTTATTGTTTCTAATAGCTTCTTGTTACTACTAGTAAGGCACTTGTTCCTAGTAGCTTATTGTTCCTGATTAGTTTGTTTTGTGGATGTTGTGGAACAAACATTGTTGTTTTAAGAATAATTGGTATGTCACTGAAGACGCTGAAGATTTCACGATTGTGGAGGGTGAGCTTGCGAACGCAAATGAGCTAGACAGCTAGAAATGGTGTATTGGGTCTGAAAACACATCTGCCCAGAATATTTGTGCACTTGTCCGCTCAGATCATTCCAACTTAGGAGTTTCCGCCGGCGCCTGCCGTCATTTTGGAACAAGAGACAGGGTGCGTCTTGCGCCACTCAAATGGGCGCGCAAAAACATTTGGAAATTGGGCATCCTTCTAAAGCCAATCATTCAAGCTGTCATAGTCAATGGTGTAGAAAAGGCTATGGGGAGGGATGGCAATTGCACCACCAATGGATCTCCACCAAATACTCATTGTGCCGTGAAGGACCAGCCCGAACAGTTTTTGGGCAACCTGGGCACAGACTGAGGACCTTGGTGATTCCTAAAATAGGCGTCAACATGCGCAATGTTGCAAAACTGTCATGTCAGCCATTGACGACCTCTTTTCCAGCAATGTTACATGTAGTTGATCCAACAAGACTTGAGACACTGCTCCAGCAGTGGCGGGCAACAAAAAGAAAGCAAAAAGGAGTCACTGGAGTGTGCTATGACCCAGGCGGGTAGCCACCCGACGCCTCAGTTGGGCTTCGCGTCGACTTTGCAACACACAAGTAGCGTCTTTGCTCCTAACAGCGATGCCCTTTCTCCTAATAGCTTCTTGTTCCTAGTAGTAAGGCCAGGAGCCCCTAGTAGCGTCCTTGCTCCTGCCGCCGCGTGCCATCCAAACTTTGTGGGCCCAGGCGTCTGTCTGCAAGGTTTGCACCTCGATAAACGGCAACAGGGTCGCAAAATCAATACATCCGACCAAAACATCTTCTGAAGGCAGCACCAGCTCCAGCAGCTCTTCTGTACTTAAAGCATCAAGGACCTGCAAAGCGCCATTATGTCATTGATGATGAGTGTGCTCTGACAAAACATTTGTATACCGACCACATTCTGTCACTCAGTTAATTATGTGGCTCGTCACGTTCAACCTGCATGGCAAAGCTGGCAAATTTGAAGATCCATGTGCACGTTGTATGGCGATGTGCGCAGGTCCCTTGCGTGGATTGGGTTCGCTAGTTTGGCCGGGTTCACATCTAGGCCCAGAGCGTTCGTGTAGTACTGTAAGCAATGCAATTCAATCCGCAACAAAGGCCACATGCCCTCACCAATGCAAGCAAAAACCCTTGTTCTTGGTGTGAGGCTTGGTTGATTGACGGACGAAAAAAACCTCTGTGGATTGACGGCCCAATAAGAGCGTGTTTCAGTGGGAGTTTGTTTCCTTCCATCGTCGGTGAGATCCTTACAGGGCAGTGGTCAGAAATTTGTTGTTATTTGCTGCGGTGACATCTCGCACCAGGGAAGCAGGGGAGGAGGGTTGCGCAGGAGGGGGGAAAGAGAGGAGAGGAGCAATTTGTTCCCGGTATCACTATTCCAAGCTTTCGCATGGCGCCTAGCTTCGCCCCCCCAACAAAGTTCAGTCTGCCCTTTCACGTCCACAACTTTCTGGCGGCTAGTGATTGACTCCACAGGCATCACCCTCTAAAGGGCCAATCCGCATGTTGAGAGCGCGCCCAGAGTCTCGACATGGCAAGCTCTTTCGCACATTGTCGCCGAGCCCCGCAAGCCACCCAGACGGCCCCAGACCCCTTGAGCCTCAAGCTTGCATGGCTTACTAAGTCAAGAGACGGCTCAAGGTTTCGGCTGGCAGCTAGCTTTTTGATGAGATGAGATGAGATGAGAGATGAGAGATGAGATGCGCGGAGAAGAGCGAAAGGGAAAAGGGACCAGGGAAGATGGGAGGAGGAGAGGAAAAAGTCGGTCTAGATAAGATGCACGCTGGTGCCGTGGTAGGGAAGAAACTCTTCTTCCGCACCGTTTCTCTTACAACTTGGCCGTAGCTCCCCTCAAACTAGATCGAAGTAATAGTAATCGTGTTCTTTGAATAGTTGACGTAGAGCTTGGAAGCTTCAAATCTCACCGGCAATGCAATGGGCCTGGTCTGCCTCGCAGTCCGTGAGCCTCAGGAAAAGAAGGGGAAAAAAATGTAAAAACTGGTCGCAAGGTTGACCTGCTGCAGGCACGTCTGAACTTGACTGAACTTAGTTTGGCTAAGCCCCGCGCATCTGACGAGCTAAGCTCTTCAGCTCCTGAAAACAGCAGTGCTGTCAAAGGCTGAAAATTGCAAGCACTTCAAACAAAGAACATCATGCGTTCATGATGTTTGTGTTTAATCTTCACGGATCTTCATGGCCAAACATTGACAGGAGCCTTTATGCTTTGACGGTACAACCCAGAGTATCTCATTTGCATCTGCAACTATGGAGAGGGCATGCGTGCTTTCATGCTTTGCTTGCTCTCGCCTCACGGTCAAATTGTGCTCCAGACCTGATCTCAGCGTCTCACATCTCACTTTGGCTTGACCATCCCACCAAGGCCCGTACTGCGAAGCCTCGGCTTACTCGACAAATATGTGGTGTGAAGCCTCAAACCTTTTCTCCCTTCAGGGCCCTTCAGCAGCTCAAAGCACCTCTGAACAACCCTGAGGAAGACGCGTCTCCTGTTGCCTGTCAACGGGACATTTTATTCCTTCGCTCTTTACGTTCTAGTGAGCAAATGCCGTGAGTGTGGGAAGGGGAATTACATGTTCAATATCATCGGTCAGGTAACGCAATGCAGCGTAACAACACTCAACATGCAGTTCGATAGCAACTTTGCAGGAATTCATGCCCTTTCATGCCCTTTCGTATTTCACTGCTCTGGGATGCTCATTGGTTTCCTCTTTCACACAAACCATGGGCGTTTCTTCAACGCTGCCTCTGTATGTGCTGGAGGACTTGAAAAACTTGCTCGAGAGGAGGGTCTTGGCAAGCCAAAAAGCAGGTCACTCTGCACGCTGGAACATTGTCGATGCAAAAGCTCTTGGGACGTATAGACTTTTCAATTTAAATCTACGTAGACCTTGCAACCTGCTTCTCTGAAGCACATCATTCGGACAATGCAGCCGACCCTGAGTCTGCAACAGTCTCAACAAGTTCTGTGGACGAATGGACTTCACAGATCCATCTTGCCTCAACAATGCTGGGAATGAAGGTTGGAGGCCACCGCTACTAGGTTGGAGGCCATTGCTATTTGCGAACGGATGGAAAGGTGTGCCCTGGCCCCGTTCTAGCTCTTAGGTCAACATGAAGCTCGCGCGCTAAAGCTCCTTTTTACCTGGTTGGGCACTTGAGCCAAAAGTATATGGCATGTACCTGTATAGCGACTATACTGGGACCCCATCCCTATTGACACCCCCCACATCCGTACTTCGACGGGGAAGGGAGATGAGTGGATGTAAAAATCGGAGAACGAATCACGTTCTCAAAAGTGTATTGGAGGTCAACCAGTATGTCCTATTGAATCGAATTAGCAAAAGATCTTGCATTCGCTTGAAAGTTGGATCAAGCAGGCAACGGAGCTACAAGCAGAAAACGTGCACCTACCTATGGTATCATGCGATTACCAACGGTGTGAGACACAATCCTATCTCACTCCCATGATGCCAAAACGGTCACCATGAATTACCCGCGATCCCTCAGTACTTGAAGTACCGGAAGTGGCATGCCGGCATGACCCCAATGTTCAACCATTCGTGAGTTGTCGCATGTAGTCAGCGCCGACAAAGCCAATGTAGTCCTTGATGAGCTCAACGTTCCTTGGATTTCCCGCTCGGATCTGCTCCTCGAAGGACTTCAATTTCCTTTCTTGGGTATCGGATACCTCTATGCCATAGTAGCGGCATGCAACGAGGATCTCCTTCGTGACATTCTTCCTCTCCGATTTGATGGCGGGACTAATGTCGATGAATTTGTATGGAGCGGCACTTTCGTCATCTGGTTTCTGGTAGTAACTATATCGGCTCGCCCCGAAGGTCTTCTTGATCATACGTCTGATGAAATTTGAGATGAATGCCAATTTCTCGATGATCTCATCCTGGGTTTCAGACTTTCGAGCCTTTGGATCACTCATGCTGCGCTGAGTGCTGCCGACCTCTTTGAGGTACTTGTGGCTAAGCCCGCAGCGGATTGCAGTGATCATCATCGGATGAACAACATTGGCGTGGAATTCATAGATCTGCCACGCTTCTGCTGCATACACGTCGTCGGTCCACCTGCTCATGCCTACGACCTCGTCTCTCTTGAGACGTCTTGGAAACCCAGTATCCGGATCTTTCGGTACTATTGGCCATCTATTGTGCGGAGTGTCATGCCGCTGTCCATCGTCGAACATTCGCAGTACATCTTCACGACTCTCAAAGCAGTTGATGTCGAACGTTGCGTTGGCCAAGCTCTTGATCAACTTCATCAACCTCAAATCAAATTGCTGTGTGACGGCAAAGTTGTGGTCGATGGGGATCGCAGCTTCTTGCGGCAATTCGTCAATCGCGAAGGGGAAAGGCTAGTTCATTCCCGTATCCATCTTGAGGGACCTCCCGATACTCGGGTTCGCCTTCAGCTTCGTCCGGTCGTTCCTTCAAAATGATAGGAACTTCCTCCTCTTCCTCTCCTTCGGATTCCTCGATCTCAATGACCTCTTCGGCTGTCTTGCGTGCATTCTTGATGACTTCATCGATGTTTGCACCTGCAGCAGAGGTTGTTTCACCGGAAGAACTGGCTGGGACATCTTTCGGAGGTGATCGTTGATTGCGGTCCCTTGTCTCCTTGGGTACCACATGTGTGAGCTTCCCATTCGCGATCAAAACCGCTACGCAGTGCGGACATATCGTCAATCGCACATCGACCTCGCCAAGACAGTTAGGACACGGCCTTGAATCGTAGTCTTTCATCGCTCGGCGATACACGCGATCTCCTCGAAGAGTTCCTGCCACTCGGTGTTATCATATTCTGGGTAGACACCACTCTCCTCGATCATACCCAACAGCTTTGAGATTTTGGCGTCGTCCTCGGAGTAGGTATCGTCCAGAACCTCAACCGCCAAGCTCTCAAGCTTTTGAAAGCGTGGAATCATGATCGGGTTTCCGTATTTGGACTCTAGAACGAGGTAGCTTCCAGGGTCGGGTTCCCCATTGAGTAACCGGATCCATTCGATCTTCTCAGGCTGTCCGGGTTCCGCATTGTCGCATTGCAACCATGCCCCTTTAACCTCATCGAAGGGAACGACGTTCTCAACCAATAGAGAGCCAGTCGCTGAGATGAGAAGTCCGTACTCCTGCAGCTTCCACACCGGAATGTAGAGAACCACTGGGCGATCACTCAATGCGACCTTACGACCCAGCCAAGGTTTACCCTTGTAGCCCTGCTCCCAGGCCCATGGCGGAAAACATGTGAAGTGGATAGAATCCCTTCCCGATGAACCGAGACCTCCCGGCACTAGCCCTCGTCGCATGATTGAAGTCAGCGCTCCGAGATTGGTAGCGTGAAATGCATTCACCATAGATAGGGCCATGTCGTTGGTCATTCTCGACCCAATGTGGTCGATGTCGATGGTAACGTCATAACCTCCGCCGTCCGTTGAGTGTGCCGAGGTTGCTCTTACAGCCACGGGAAAGCACCATCCATCGCTATGGTGGAGTCTTCCTTTAGAGATTCCCATGTCCTTGAGTTCGTTAATCCATTCCTTCTCCATCGGGTCATCAGGCTCATTGAGTTCATCAGGGTGAACGCGGACCGCCAACATTTGGAATCTGACCCTCTTGGTTATGCGGAAACACTCATAGTTTTGGTCGAAGTACTTCTCCAAACGCGCCTTCTTGGTCACGATATCTATGTTGCCGTAGTGATAACCGTCTTCCCAAACTGCATTATCACCTAACAGGTCTTCCCATGACACCCATGCGCCTGCATCGCATTTGATTGGTGCGAGTCTTCCTCCTGTCCTGAACTGGCGTCCAATTCGATGTCTCAACTTCGCTCCCAATCGACGACTCAGGGCCTGGCTCGTTTGGCTGTATTCAGGTACTCGGCAGTCTGGAGTCGGATACTTGTGGTTGCCGTAGTCGGAGTTCTTTGCAGCGAAAGTGACTCCGTTGATCGGTACTAGTTCAACTTTCCCGACCATCGTCATGGGGTCGATCGGCTTGTATCCCTTCTCCCTCCGTGTTGGTAGGGGGTAGAAGTGATGACATGCCTTTGGTGTGAGGGAACTGGAGTGCACAAATGCCTTCTCGACAAACTCATACACCTGTTTCATATCCTTAGGGCCTGCTTCCACAAGCTTCCGCCCATTGTAGGAATGTGGTCCTCCTTCGACCCCATCAGCACTTTCGACCAAGGTGAATCCGTCATGGTCAAACATTGTCACGACTCTTGCTTTTAACATTTCTTTGCGCTTGAACTCGCTGTCGACCTTTCTTTCTGGAGTGGGCGACGCTCTCTGCTTCTTCTTCTTAGGCTGTTCGGTTGGATGTCCTGATGGTACATCGTCGGGTGCAACCTCTCCCTTCACTCTCTTCTTCCAATCACTCAACACCGAGGTGACTGTAGGTGAGGATGAAAGGGTCTTCTCGCAATTGAGAGTGGTGTGTCCCGACTCCATGCAGTGGATGCAGAATTCTGCCCGCCCGATCTTCTTCTCAAATTCGTCGATGGCGTGCAGTATTGATGCTTTCGGGTCGGACATGTCAACATCTTGCTCCTCCTTCTCCTGTACGCCTTCAGTCTCCATATCGACACCTTCGGTCTCCATATCGACACCTTCGGCCTCGGGCTCGCCAGTGGCTTCTGTTCCCTGTTCTGGCTCTTTTCCAATCTCGAAGAAGTGGTCGATGTCGAATTCAGGAAGCGGCATAGTCCTCATGCGAACGAGAATCAGCGCCACGCTTGCCGCCTCATCAGAGTGCGGGTCCATGGTTCTGATCATCGATCGCTTTCGGTTCTCATATGTTGTCCTGTCGTACAGTGATGCGGTGACGCGTTTGATGGATTCCTCTAATCCCGTCCTCAAAGCTTCGATGTCACCCCATCTCCTGAACATGTGCCTGAAAAGTTGAGCAATTTCGAACATGCCCAGCAGCGCTTCCACCATGTCACCTACCCGTTCCTCCGTGGGGTCATCTCCGAATATAGTGCGGAATACATCGGGTTCCAGTATGGTCTTGAGGTATTTGGTGTAGCATACGTTGCCAAGGTCATAGGATCCCTGGAAGTACTTGGCGTTGCCGATTATCTGCTTTTCCACATGGATGCTGGGTCCTCTCCTCGTTTTGAAGAAGTTCTCCGTCATTGTTGATGACAACCTGATCCCCCCGAAGAACGAAATCTCCTTCTGGAAACCTGGATTCTCATTGAAGATGATCATCGCCTCGTGTAAAAAACTTCATCAAGTCATCGTGCGGGTTCATCTCGGAGATTACGATGGTGGGAGAAGATACCGTCTGCCCCATGCCGAAGTTGTGAAGCAATCGAGCACATGCATGAAATCGCTTCTGGACGTAGTCTTCTGCGGACATCCCACGGCATCTGTTTGCTGCTCCGTTGATGCATTCCGCATAGCAATCGTCTTTCAAATCGGAGTCTATGGGATTGCAGAACAGACAGTAATCGCAGCAAATTTCCTCACCCTCCTTAAAGTCATCAATGACGTACCACCTTTGAGTCCTTGAGTATATTGGTTCTGGCTGAAGGACTCCCCAGTACTCATCCATCCATGGCATCTTGTTCTCTCTCCTTACCTTCTCCCTCTTCCTCCTCTCAGACTCATTCTCACCTGAAGGCTCCGCAGTGGACTGATAAGCATGGCTTCCTCTCACGGAATCTCCGAACAAGTACTGATACAACCTCTCTTTGTCCTGCAACACGTGTTCCAAGTTGGGATCATGGAGGCTATTCGCTTCGGTCAAGGGATCCGGTGCCATAAAGCAAGAAGCGAGCATCTTTTCTCTGAACAAATACTTTTCCATGACAGCGTGGACCAAAGAGGTTCCAGACTTCATAGAGTAGGGGTGACCGCTTCCGGCGACCGAAATGGCTCGCCAGAATCTGTCCGACGTTGTGGACATCATGCCATTCAGCGACAGCTCGTCCTTGATCATGTTGGCGATCTTACCGAACGAACCGACGGCATGGTGAAA